GGAAGAGGAGGATGAAGAACGAGTGGGAAGGTTTGAGAGGGCCACCTCACCGCTGAGAAGTTTTGTGGCTCGTGGTCGACAGTCTCTTCGAAATCTCTCTCGGCAAAGTCGGCAGCGTTTTTCCCTGCGCAAACGCACGACTGCATCAAACTCAAATAATGTAAGACTATGCTGAATGTTTTCTGCTCTTTCTTCTGTTTCTTCGTGCTCTGTCATCCGATCTTTAAGGCATTGCACTTTCTTTAAAAGATCTTCAACAGTCCGTTACAAAACATTCACAAATGTTTTTACTGCATGCTCTCAAAATATGCATAAAGCATTGCTTTGTGAAAGATTTGGTGATGATTGAAAAAAAATCTCCTGAATGGCTAAAAAAGCCCTAATATTGCCTAAATTGATGATGCTGAGTAAAAAAAAAAAAAACACTCTATGAAAACTTTCCATGCCATACAGTTTTTTCACGAAATAAGAATGAAGATTTTTCAATTTATGTATCAAAATAACAAAAGCAGTCAAATGTCAAAAGTTTTTAATGACAACAATAAGTATTCAAAATGTGTCATGTAACTTACAATCTGTAAAGGAATGGGAAAAATTTGTTCAAATATCCCATTTATTGTCAGAGAACGTTACAAAATAAGCAAGATAAGCATTTTGAATGTAGTAAAACACCCGCAGATGTAGCAGAAAATATCTGGGTCATGTTTGCATTTTCTTCTGTCATTGGTCATAATTATAACTATATAATTATATAGGCATATACTAATGTCTTCAGAATCATTCATGCACATGAAAATAGGCTGAGAGTTAAAGAAAGAGTCATAATCTGGCTCAGAAAAAGACAGGAATCATGTCTTTGTGGTGTTTTTCTGGTGATAAAGGGATAATACAAGACTTCACCTTACAAATGGTTATCAGAAGCAAAAATGCTACAAAATGTATTTGCAAGCGTGACGTGCTCGAGCAAAACAGGCACTTATATTTGGAATCTGCACCCCAAAATTAGTATGATACAAGTATTGGATTTCATTCAGCAAATATAATGCTGGCCGGTGTTATTATTATTATTCATTAGAATCTGATTACAATTGCTGTCGCTGAGTCAGTGTGTTCACATCAGATGCTGTTAAACAGGATGCGAGTTCTTCTGGAATAATTCGGAATCTCGAGCTGTCTAGGCTTGTTTTTATTCACTCGTAAATTTGCTCATCCTCTCATTTTGGATCTTCTTTTCCCTACATGCATCTCTGTCAGTCATGACAGGTCTTGATCCACCCAAAACTCACAGAATTCAATTGGACTAATTTGGTGAATATGGCACCCATCCCACAGACATGCACGTGTGTCTATACAGAGGTTTTAGATGGACATACACTACAGTTTAAAAGTTTGGAGTCTGTAAGATTTTTAAATGTTTTTGCAAGAAGTCTCTTATGCTCACCAAGGCTGTATTTATTTAATTAAAAATACAGTAAAAACAGTAATATTGTGAACTATTATTACCATTTAAAATAACAGTTTTCTATTTTAATATACTTTACAATATAATTTGAATAGATTTTAAAATGTAATTTATTCCTGTGATCAAAGCTGAATTTTCAGCATCATTGCTCCAGTCTTCAGTGTCACATGACCCTTCAGAAATCATTCTAATATGTTGATTTGCTGCTCAAGAAACATGTTTTATTATCAGCATTGAAAACTGCTTAATATTTTTGTCTAACCGGTGAAGCATTTTTCATCAGGATTCTTTTATGAACAAAAAAGTTCAAAAGGACAGCATTTATTTGAAATCTTCTGTAACATTTTAAATGTATACTGACTGCAGCCTTTTGAATGGTAAAATTAGTCTGTATAAAGTTTGATGGCGTGTTTTAGTTCAGTAGTTGCTGCATGACTCATGGATTGTTACTAAAATATCACTGGATGACTCTAATGGTGCTCATAGAACAGTAGAGCAGTCATTTAGTCCTAAATTTCCCTAGTGAGTAACTACACAAATTAAAGATGCACATCAGCCATGTTTACATGCACATCATTTTCCAATGTACATGCAAATTCTGGTTAAAGGGATAGTTCACCTAAAAAAAGAAAAAAGAAAAAGAAAATTCAGTCATTAATTACTCACCCTCATGTCGTTCAAAACACGTAAGACCTTCGTTCATCTTCGGAACACAACTGAAGATATTTTTGATGAAATCCGAGAGCTTTTTGACCCTGCATTGACAGCAAGGGAACTGAAGCGTTCAAGGCCCAAAAAAGTAGTAAGGACATCATTAAAATGGTCCATGTGACATCAGTGGGTCAACCGTAATTTTATGATGCTATGAGAATCATTTTTGTGTGCAAAGAAAACAAAAAAAACGATTTTATTCAACAATTCTTCTCTTCCCTGTCACCTCCATTCACGAGAGTACCACGACGCATGAGTGTGGTGCTACTGACGTAGAACTGTAATCACTTTTGCTTTAGATTATTCCTGACAGCTGCAATAAATGAAGCTTTAAACTAGTAATATTAATATATATTCAAACTGTGGTTTTTATTGCTGTTGTTGCCTCTTATTTGAGATAAAGTGGGTTAATATCATTTATTTTTTAAGTGACAAAACATATTTTTCTTAAATATATACATGCATGTGTGTGTATTTATATCTACATAATAAATATACACAGTACACACATATATTATATAAGCAAAAACTTTCATTTTGGATGCGATTAATCGCGATTAATCGTTTGACAGCACTAGATTGCCCCCAACCCCTGTTATTAATATTTTGATCTAGTCTTTGTCATTATAATTTGACACTTATATTTTTCTCATACCAAAAGCATCTCACAGTTTCCCCCGGTTTCTATTACTTCAACACTGAAAACATCATACACAGCAACTTTAAGAGCCTCCAACTCCGTATCAGTATAGAAGAGAAATGAATGATGGGTGTGATGCAGAAGAGGGGCTGTTTATTGTGAGTAACGTGTACAGATCAGAAATACAGTCCAGCAGTCATTGTTGTATGTTTATGGGATTGTCTCGTGATGGACTGAACATTATTAGAATGAACATTAATGTGCTGCTCACAGAGAGCTTGTTTACGAGGAAGTGTTTTGTTTCCTAGTAACAATTCTTGTACGCTGACATGTTTAAAACAGCAGAGTGACGTGAAATTCAAAGTATCTGGTCTGTGTACAAAGATGTGTCTGGATGATTGAGAGAGCGTGTGTGGGTTTGTTGTGTTTGTAAAGGACAGTTTCGCCCCTGTGATCATTAAAACATGTATGCCTGGATTGTTGGTGCTTTTCTGTTTGCAGCGTATGTGGTTTTGGGGGGTGTGTGTAAGCTGAGTGTGAGTTTTAACTCATCACTTAGCACCAAAATGATAGGAAAACTTTTTGTCATGCCTGCCAACAGAATGTGAATTGAAATTTTCTGATCATAATTTTTTTTTTTGCCTGTTTGAATTTGTATTTTGCCTTATGCATTATGCAATTCTGGTAAGACTTTAATTTAGGGACCAATTCTCACTATTAACTAGTTGCTTATTAGCATGCATATCACTATATTTATTAGTACTTATAAAGCACATATTAATGCCTTATTCTGCATGACCATATTTTAGATCCCTTAATCCTACCCCATACCTAAACTTAACAACTACCTTACTAACTAATATGCAGCAAATTAGGAGTTTATTGAGGCAAAAATTATAGTTAATATTTAGTTAATAGTGAGAAATGGTTCCCAAAAGTGTGACTGCAAGTCTGTTATATGCAACAATATATTTTGAATGCATGTATAAATATTCTAGCCATTTGGTAAAATATTATCTATCATAAAAACACTGAGACCTACAATTATTTTGGTCTTCAGAGTTTCGTTTTAATGGCTTGACTCCAGGAATGTGTCGTGCCATGAGGTTCATGGATTATTTAAATTATGACAGCAGAAGAAAACTTTTTTTTTTTGTCAGCTGATTCCCTTTGATCTAAAATATTTACCTGAGGATTTTGAGGAAATATTTCACATGGCATGAAAGTGAACAAATAAAATATTTCATATCATTTTATTAAGTGTTATATTTTAATCTTTTGTTTTGGTCATTGATATTATTCTTCAATAGGACGTTAACTTCTCTTTGGAATTTCTCGTTTTGGTTGACTATAGTTGTGTGATTTAAATTATGTATTATGTTTCAATTTCAGCTTACCATTTACTCATTTGGTGGTGGTCGTTTGTTCATTTTCTGCCAGCTAACCGTAAAAAAACATCAAACCTGCAACTTTAAGAAGTCTGTCCTCACAGTCCAAGATCTTTACATACTCCTTTGTGTAAATGAGTACTTTTTTGAGATTATTAGAAAGAGTTATTATCATTAACTAAAAACTAAGACAAAAAAAAACCCATTTTGGTTAATTGCAATAAATATAAATTAAATGTAAATGTAAATATTAGATGAAAACAAACACAAATGTGCATGTTTAAGTTGCAAGTTTAAGTACTATATTAACTGAAAATAAATAACAATGTCATTTATCTGAACAATGTTATTTTAGTAGAATTGAGATACGATTATAGATTTTATTAATATTTAGATTCTAAATATTTTAATATTTTGATTATATATATATAATATCTGTTTTATTTATTTATAGTACATCATTATACTAAATCAAAATGAGAAATGTCTAATTGAGAATATTAATGAAAGCTATAATCGTAGATAAATAACAACACTGCTTTGAGGTGAGTCTAGAGTCTTTCTATACTGGTCTGAGCTGGTTTGGTGGTGGTCTTGGCAAGCTGTTTATAAAAGAAACTTGATCAACCAGCATGGTTTTCCTAGTGGAGCTGGTTTAGCTGGTTAAGAAGCCTGTTGGCTACACCAGCATCCACAACCCAACATACAATGTGGCTACTCGCTGGTGTTATCAGCAGGACTTTACTGTAATCTGAGTATTGAAGTATATGTGTTTGTTTGCTCTCATTAAACCCTGCAGGGTCAGTTGAAGGACGGTGAGCCCGAGGAGGATGCAGTTGCAGAACAGGACACAGAGAATCTAATCGGGGAAACCGACGAACAAAATGAAAACAGGGTTGGAGCTAAACTCTGCAGGACACCGGCCCTCCAGGACCGAGTTTGGACAGCCCTGCTTTAGACTAACAGTCATCAGACATCTGTTTTGCTCAGACTGTCCCCTAGTGGTCATGAAAAGCATCAAACATCAGTTCTCTCGCTGTAGAGTTACATGTGGGTTGATTTCATATGTTTTTATCTGTTCAGTCACGCTACACAGGCCAGAATCAATCAAGTCCTACAGAGACTGACTCAGGCCAGACGACGAAATACATCTACTGATTCAGACACAGCAGACGTCCCAATTCAGGAGGAGCCCGAACCGCTACCAGTTCTTGAGGTACACTTCAGTTATGATTTTATCAGATTTTTAAATATGTATATATATATATGTATATATATATAAATGTTTTTGTATTTTCATTTATATATATTATGTTTATATTTAGATTATTTTTATTTATTCATGTATTTATATGTTTAAATTTATATGCATTATATACAATACCATTCAAATGTTTTATATCCATTATAAGTTAGGATTTTATTCGATTTTTTTCAATATGTATTACAGTAATATAATGTAATGCATGAGGATCATTAGAATTTTCTGCTTAACAGATAAAAATTTCATAAGAATTCATATTAATTTATCTAGAATTCATATCTATTATATTATACTCAAGTCTTCTAAAATAATATAAAATAATCTTTATACTATAATTATTTAAATGTATATATATAATATAAAAATAATATAATATGATATGATATAAAGAATTGTGTACTTGTGTTAATGTGTGTATTTTTGCATGTGAAATGCTGGATTAGACTGCAGCTCCTCTACCGGACTCCAGAGTTTTCCGTTCAAAGGTTGATCTGGGGAAGAAACGGAGCATAAAGCGTTCCAGACCGTCTCGTTCTATACGACAGAGAGTCACCCTGCCCTCTCTGACAGAGGGAACACAACCCGACTGGAGGTTCTGTGACTCCACAGGTCATATCATACATCTTATCATATATCACAAATAAAAACAATTTATTAAGATGATGTCCCGTGCTGAGCCGGTTTTTTTTTAACACTGAATCATAGTTACATTACGTTACATTTTTAGTGGGAATTTAGTGGGGTAGAGTCTAAATCCTTTAGAATCTGTATGCTTCAACTGCAGAAATTCCACAAACCTTTATGTCAATGATTGATTAGACAGAAAACAATCTATTACAGAAGCAAAAGATCAGTGGTCCAATGGAGCGGACTCTGAATCAGAAGAGGAACCGTCCCAGGACGTCACATCCTCTCCAGCCCCGAGCCAGCCCAAGAGAGTCCCTGTGTTTCCTGGGATGGACCCTTCTGCCCTCATGGTATGTCCCTGCTGGTATATGTCTGGTTTTGGGTGCTTATGGGAAGTCGTGGCCTAATGGTTAGAGTAGGGGTGCCCAAACTCGGTCCTGGAGGGCCAGTGTCCTGCAGAGTTTAGCTCCAACCCCAATTAAACACACCTGAACCAGCTAATCAAGCTCTTATAGGCATACTAGAAACTTCCCAGCAGGTGTGTTGAGGCAAGTTGGAGCTAAACTCTGC